GACAAAATTTAGCAATAACTAAAGGTCATAATGGATACTTCGACCTATGACAGAAAATTGCAGAACACGTCTTTGTATACCCCACATTTAACGGCACCTTCCTTTTGCGGCATTTGGATGATATGAGCGACATTATTCAACGGTACCTTCCGTTGCAGCCTATGACAAAAAATTGCGTATGCAGATCCTCGTCTTCGTATAGGCCCATATAACGGTATTCATTTAAACAGTAATATTCGACAATGTATATATATTTTTTGCAAAAATTTCCTTTAAAATATTAAAGGGACTTAAAATGCTTTTTAGTTGTTTTAATTTGAAGCCAATCGAAAGCTTTATAACACTAAAGAAACAAAAATACAAAACTTTAAGCAAAACCGATTGGAAAATATTATGGACACCCTCGAAATAACGGAGATATATTTATACTTTCGGCCCGGCCGAACTTTGAATACTCTCCACAACTTGGAACGAATTTGGCAATTCTAAGAAAACAATAAAATCCGTTAAAAATCCTGTTAATATCTCAAAAATACATGCATAGGTAACTTTTGTCATAAACCATTACAATATTCAAATGCGAAACTTAACAAGAAACCAGTAAAGAAAGTCTTAAAGTCGGGCGGGGCCGACTTTATGATACCCTACACCACGTTGCTAATTTAGTAGAGCTCCGTATATCTACTAAACGTTTTTATGGGAGAATTCAATCATACACGCTATGATTATAATTATAATTTAAAGTTCAAAGGACTAAATATGCCGAAGTATTTGTACCTTTTAAATTCGGACTTGTATTGCCTATTTGGTGCACAATTAATTTGAAATCGGATAGAAATACATGTATGGGAGCTATGTCCAAATCGGAACCGATCTCGATAACATTTGGCAAAGATATTTCTGAGCTGTGTTTCATATATTTACCTGAAAGTCGATGTTACGGAGTGCATATTACGGCTGTGGGTAACAAATACAACAAATCGGATGAACAGTATATATGGGAGCTATAGTTATATCTGAACCGATTATCACCAAATTTGATATACTAGCTTCTAGACCCAATTCGGTCGTAGAGCCAAATTTCATACCATTTGGGCAAATATTATACGTTTGGTGTACAATAAAAGGTAAATTGGACGAAGATATATATGGGAGCTATATCCAAATCTGAACCGATCTCGATAAAATTTAGCAAATGTATTTCTGAGATGTATTTGATATATTTCCCCAAATATTGTTGTCACAGGGTGCATATTACGGCTACGGAGGACAAAAATAATAATTAATAATTATTTTCAGATCCAATCTGATCGTACTCGCAAAATTCCATACCATTCGGACTGATATTACACGTTTGGTGCACAATAAAAGGCAAGTCGGACGAAGATACATATGGGAGCTATATCTAAATTTTTACAGATTATCTCCAATTTCAATAGGGTTCGTCTTTGGGCCAAACAAATGACTTGTGCAAAATTTCATGTGGAGAGGACAAGAAATGCGAAATGTACTTTGTTTACAAAAATACATGGACAGACGGACGGACGGACATGCATAAATCGACTCAGAATGTGATTCTATGCAGATCATCGAAAGGAACTATGGGTCTATCTCGTTATGGACATAATACCCTGACCACCTTGTGGTGTAGGGTATAAAAAGGCGGTGAATAATGTAGCTAAAATCATCAAAATATCGAATATCGAGAGATACCGTTATATGGGGGCTATACGAAGACCTGGACCTACATGGCCCATTTTCTGTGTTAGGCTGTAGTATCCATTATGAACTTTAAATACCAATTTTGAAATAATTCCGGTGAATATTGTCGCTAAAATCATCAAAATACCGAATATCGGGAGGTACCGTTATATGGCGGCTATACCAAAATGTGGTCCTACAGGGTTGCCCATATTCGACGGAACTTTGGGTCCATTCCAATCGACGAGGCTTGTCCGCAGGCTACACTCTTTGCGTCAATTCAATTTTGTACGGGAACAAATGCAAATCAATGCGAATAATCCGTTCTAAAGTGGAGCAAGCCATGCCCAACTGCTGAGAACGGCGTTTTTGGGATGTTCTTGGGTTCTCTCAACACTGGCTCGTACGGCGGCGATATTCTCGGCCGATCGCCTTGGTCGACTTTTATATGGCCTCTTCGAAAAGTCGAAAAATTTTCGTATAAACGCTCAATGGTGTTCTTAGGAGGCGCACTTCTCACATTTTTTAATTTTTTAAAAGCACGTTGAGTTTTCACAATTGACTTCTTCTCTTGAATGTAAATTTCAACTATTTCAGAGCGCACGCGTGGCGTGTATTGGCTCTTGGTAAAAATCTGCTTGGACTGACGCTTCAAATGCGGTATGTAAATAAGCGATGTGACATCTCTGTCAAAAGTTATGGCGTTGCCAGATGGGTCCGTCGAATATGGGCAACCCTGTATTCTCTATATACAGCGAAACGTCTTTTGTTTCATATTTTCAATACCAAATATCCTGCAGACATGATATACATTTGAGTAAAATTTTATCAATCTACTTCAATTCGTTCGGAAGCTAGAGTGATGTCCACAGACGGACAGACGGATAGACGGACATGACAAAATCGACATAGAATTTTATGCTGATCAAGAATATATATATACTTTGTGGGGTATAAAATGTGTATTTCGAGGTGTTACAAATGGAATGACAAACTTGATATACCCTCCCTCCATGGAAATTTCGCGTTTTATGGGCTTAATGGGGCTTAATTTCGACCTTTTGTGGGGGAGGTGCCAGAAGGAGTGGACGGATATATTTCATCTTAACACCTGAAAATATTGGGATGTGTGAAATCTGAAAAGAATTGGGCTCTTAAATCACATTTTATAAGAGTTGTAACTATTCAATCATGTGTGGGGGAGGTACTTTTTGGATTGGACCGATATTGTCCATTTTCGCACCTGACCTAGCACTGACGCAAATATTTGGATTTGTTAATGTGGATCACTTCTCTTTCTGTGTAGAAAAAAATATTTTTTTTTGGAAATTTCGACCCTTTGTGGGGGACGTACCAGAAGGAGTGGACCGGTATATTCAATCTTAACACCAGACCTTGGATTAATAAAAATATTGAGATGTGTGAAATTTAAAGAGAATTGGACTCTTAAATCACATATTATAAGAGTTGTAATTATTCCAAATTTTTACCCTTTGTGGGGGAGGTACTTGATGAAGTGAACCGATATTGTCCATTTTCGCACCTGAAAAATTATTGGAGCAAAATAGGATTATCCGTTCTGTGCAGTAAAATATTTTATTTATTTATTTATTTATTTCTTGTTTTTTTTTTTTTTTTTTTTTTGAAAATGTTGTGGGGGAGTTATCAATTGGAGTGGACCGATATTGCCCATTTCCGAACTCGATCTAGGTTTGATAACAATATTACGATGTACCAAGTTTGCACCAAATCAGATACTCTCTTCGAGAGTTATCGTGCGCACCAGCCAGCCAGATAGACGGACGGACATCGCTAGATCGACTCCAAATTTTGGTCCAAAGGGACCTAGGGTATAAAATCGTTATTTCGATGAGGCACGTTTTGGACGTATCTAGTCATAGACTGAGGGTATAAAAACAGCTATAACTCTTGGTTCGGTCTGAAATTTATACCAGAGATCTCGGCCTCCTGATAGCAAAAACATAAATTTTACCCAGTTTTACCGGTTATCCGGATTTTTGAAGCGAAAGTTCGGTTTAAAAAAAACCGAAATATAACCGGTTTTTAGATATGTCTATTAAATGAAAGCCTAAGATATTGTCTTTTCTTTTGTGACCTAAATTGGGAGTTAGGGCAACAAGTTAGAAAGTATCAGTCGGTTTTGTCGATGTATTCCCTCAGCTCATGTCTAATAATAAATTATATTTTGACTTGCTTATTCAAAATGTTTACCCTTCATTGGGATGATACCGAAGAAGTGAGCCAATATTTTTTTTATTTCGCACATGACCTCCGAAACTTTATTGAAAAATATTGACATTTTTTTGGAGGAGATAGGAGAAAGACTGAATGAAATCAAACAGATAGTATGGATCAAATCGGGTACTCCCTTCGAGTGTTATCTGTCAGCCAACCAGACAGATGGACGGACATCGCTAGATCGACTCCAAATGTCCTGAAAATTTGTACCTACCCATAGGAAAAATACTTGAATCCTGGCCGAAGACCCGCTACATAGGAAGACTTTAAGTTCTAAGAAAAACTTCGACCGCGTAGCCGATTAAAAAATCCGGATAACCGGTTATGACCGCCGGGTAAAATTTAAAATTTAATTAAAAAAATGCACATCAATTCGAGCGTTATAGCTAAACTAAGATTGTTCCGCATTATGCATAGTGATGTAGGGTATTATTTAGTTGTCCCTGTTCGACATTTGTCCTCTCCCTACTGGTCAATACTTGAATACAAAATTCTTTCCTTTTCATATATTTGAAATGGAATTTCCTTGAAACACACTACATTGACAGCACTCATGTTTACACTTTGTCTAGGCCAACTTTCCCGATTGCCTTTTGAAAACTTGGTAATGAAATAAGTTAGTCAAAAACATGTTGAAAATGTTGAGTTTAAAGAAAAGTCTTGAGTTTTTATTGATTTGTACAACTCATAAACAGTATTTGTTAAACTGCAAAACATGGTGTTTTAGTACAAATTTTGAGAAGAAAATAAAAAAAATATTTTCTAGAGTTTTTGAAAATAAAGATTTATTCTGTTTTTTGATATTTTATTTTTTTTTTTTTTTTTGTTAATTCCGCGAACAAAATACATTTTTACGTATTTGCATTTGATCTAGATCCCAGTTTTAGGATTGATTTTCTTATCGAATCCTTTTAAGGAAATAGCACATCTTTATTGCCTCATTTCAAATCATTTTCACATCAACCAAACAAAAAATTACAAAAATAAAAAAAAAAAACAAATATTTTTTAAATTTTATTTCGATTAACGTTTCTTTGCAGGATTACATCACCCTACTCAATTACTGGGACACCGTTGTTGTATTTGCCGTTCCCTTTACAACCATTGCCGTTTTGAATACATTTACCGGCTGTACAGTTTGGAAATTTGCTACGGTTCGCAGAACTTTAACAATGCAGAAGTAAGTGGCATAACACAGGGTAGAGATGGAGAGGGGGTACACAAAGAAGAACAAAATCAATGTGTTTCAATTTATTTGTGAAAGGGATACTATAGTAGTTTGCGAAGTACAGAGAGCCATTTGATTTGGTCACTTTCCAAGCAAAAATTCAGGCATGTCACAGAATGTAAAATCGTTCAAGAGTGAAAACGAAAACGGTTTTAGCTTCTCTAAAAAACGGAAAACGCAAAAATTTTGCGTTTTGATATCACTTTCAAAAAGCAGGGTGAAATTGAAATGTTTAGTGATTTTAACGTAAAAAATAAACAGAAGACACATACATTTAACAGAAAATATTGTATTAACCAAATTCTCTTAGAATGAACATGTTTTTGGAATTTATTTTACAAAAAATCTATTATTTTTCTAATCCATGATGAAAAGTAATTAAAAGGACTTGCGAGGAACTGGTGGTGGTGATATCAATCAATATGTTTTCAGTGAACACGAGAACAGTTTAATAAGAATTTGCGGATTGTATAAAAGTGTCGATGGAGTTGGTGGTGCAGTAAGCTTTGCGGATTTTGTAAGTGAATTAGATCTCAGTTGTTCTGAAAAAGAAAACTTTGATTCGTCATCATCTACACATATTTCAAGAACTCGAAAATCAAGTCAATTAGTTTTACGTGAATCTGAAAACGAAGAGCTTAATTTTTCACCCTCAACTTCAAAGCAGACCACTTCGATTTTAAATAAAAAAGATAGACCAAGATCATGCATTCCAGCTGCTTTTAAAAATGTTTCTACATTGGCAATTGATCCAAGAACACCAACATTGGAAGAAAACCGTTCGCGAACACCTATTCAAAAACGACTTAGAAATAAAAGCTTATCGTGTTCTCCGCCATCTACACCAATAAGACAAGTGTCGGGTAGCCTAACAAAAGCAAAACCCACGCCTGCAGTAAAAAGACCCCGGGCAAGAACTCCCTCAAAGCAAGATCTAAATGCGCTTTTAGTTGAGGAAAATTCTCATTTACAAAACTTGGAAAAAAATTTGTAAAATTCTAGAAGATAACAGTAAGGAAATGAAAAAACAAACTGAAAAGTTGGACAGACTTTGTAACATCCTGGAAAAAAAGTATGTGGAAGAGCAGTTACATAATATTGAAATACAAAAGAGAATGCGTGAACGGAACGAAATGAAACTCAAAATAGTTGAACTTGAAACTCTTAAATATGCTGTAGAACAGGAAAAAGCAAATACGACTCGTTCTTAACTTTACATTATTTTACACAATGGACTAAAAATGGTGGATCCTTACTCTGCATTTGAGTGAGATAAAGGATCTGATGCGTTCCTCAATGTCCGGCGACGAATTTTTTCAGTAGACCGCTGATTTATTTCTTCATCCATTACAGCAAGTATTGAAGCCCCTGGCATTTTTACTTTTGGTGTTTATATTATAAAAAACAATTTAAACTCCTTTTTTAATTGTCAATAATTTGTTTACGACTTTTTTTTTCATGAAGTTACCATATTTTTATTTCAAAAATGTGAAATGATTTTTTTTCCGGAATAGTCAAAACGTACGAGTGCTGAAGAAGCAAAAGCAAATCGTAACGATTTGGAAAAGGTGAAATAAATCGATTTCGTAAAACTTCTGTGACATGCCTGATTAAATTGTTTTCCGGAAATATTCGATTTAAAGAATTCAATTAGCAAATGTAAGATAAATAAAAGTATTGAATTGTATGTCAAATGTCTGTGCTGTTTTTCGGTGAGGATGGGCTATTGGGGACTACAGCAGCCGAAAATCAAGAGAGAGAAAAATTAAATTCAAATTTATAATGGGGAGAAATAATTGTTCGTATTGCAATCTCAAATCGAAGAGTATAGAAAATGTATTTTTGCCCAACGCTTACCCTTAGTCATATGGCTGCAGATGTTAAATATCATTTGATACAGCCAAAGCGTGAAATAAAACACGAAATTTACATCCAATTTCATTCAGACTTGGCACCTCCCAATATTTCTATCAACACAAAATCTGTTATAAAGATGATAGAGATCGGACCATTCCTCTCGGTACCTTCCCCACAAAGGTTACTAATTTTGAATAACCCAAACGATTAGAAAATCCGCAACAAGCATCCGGTTCTCTTCATATTTTACACCACATTCCATTATTTCGTATCGCTCTACTCCTTCTATTACCACCGCCACAAAGGGTCAAAATTTTGAATATCCACGAAGCGCATAAAACGCCAAATTAACATCCGAATCCCTTCAGGCTTGACATATCTTAATATTTCTATCAACAAAAGATCTGTTATAAAGGTGATAGAGATCGGACCATTCCTTCTGGTACCTCCCCCCACAAAGGGTTAAAGTTTTGAAAAACCAAAACAATTATAAAATCCGAAAAAAAGATCAGGTTCTCTCCATATGCCACACATCCCATTATTTCTACTAACACAAGATCTGCTGTAAAGATGGGATGTATCGGTCCACTCCTTCTGGTACCACCCCCCACAAAGGGTCAACATTTCGTAGGATTCAAGATTTTGAAAAACCAAACGCTTAAAGATAGCGACATAGGCATCCAAATCTCTTTAAATTTCACACATACCAAAACCCATTGAAAGGTTAGTTGGCTCCAAGTGCTGAACCAATTGGACATTCTATGGGACCATACCAAGGTCTTTATGCACAATTCGTCTCAATGATGTATATCTCAATCAGAGCTCCGAAAACTCGCTCGAATTTTTATAAAGAGTGAAACTCACTTGAATTCGAGAAGGAAAAATTGGGCAAATTACATTTTTCGATTTCGTTTAAATATGAGTGAGCATATGATTCTACATTTTAAAGAGTAGACTCCGTAACAAACTCCCACTCCTCGATCGCTCCTGTTTGCGAGCAAATTTCGTTCCTGCGTAAAATTGAGCAAATCTATGATCTGATCTCATTTGTTGAGCAAAATAGCGCTCCATGCACAAAAAATTCAACATCTTAGAAAAAAAATGCAAATCTCATGGAGAGAATATCCGATTTTGTTGAAACTCGGTATATCGTAATACTTAGATACGCCTTATATCATTTAATACAGATAAAAATATTGGGATGTGCAAAATTTGAAGAAGATCTACCAACTAAATTCTATGAGAATTTTTGTTAGTCAAAAGTTTGACCAAAAGGAAAGAACCAAAAGGAAAAAATCCCCAAGATTTATGGTTAACAGATATATTGAGATACACAAAGCTTGATAAAAAATGGTTGACTGGTTTCGAATTTTATAAGTTTATAATTATTCAAAATGTTGACGCCTTGTGAGGGAGGTACTGATTAATTCCAAATTCATATCTCTGGTTGAGAGATCAATTTAGATAAACCAAGTTCGACAAGAATAGCTGAAGTGTTTCGCATATTATAAGAGATATACTCATTCCATATGCTGACCCTTTTTGGGCGAAGTACCAGAAGTTGTGAACCGGAACCTACCATTTTAACATTGGATCTTTTGTTGATAGAAATATTGGGGTGTGATGATTTTAAAATCAATCAGATGTTGAGCTACTCAAATGTGAGGTTACAGAAAAAACTGGCCGATATATCCCATCTTCACACCTTATACTTTTAATACTCTCCAACTTAGGGTAAAGGAAACATTAGAAGAAATGTGGCAAAAACCATTAAAATGCCGAATATCTGGAGGTACCGTTATATGGGGGCTATACCAAAACGTGGACCTATAATTACAATGTTTCGCCACACGAACAAGGACCCATTATGACCTACAAATACTAATTTTTAGACAAATCCGTGAAAAAATGTGGCAAAAACCATCAAAATACCGAATATTGGGAGGTATCGTTATATGGGGGCTATACCAAATCATGGACCCATACATGCAATGTTTCGCCACCGGAGCTGGAACCCATTATGACCAACAAATACCAATTTTCATACAAATCCGTGAAAAAATTTAGCAAAAATCATTAAATTACCGAATATCGGGAGGTATCGTTATATGGGGGCTATACCAAAACGTGGACCTATAATTACAATGTTTCGCCACACGAACAAGGACCCCTTATGACCTACAAATACCAATTTTTAGACAAATCCGTGGAAAAATGTGGTAAAAACCATCAAAATACCGAATATCAGGAGATACCGTTATATGGGGGCTATACCAGAACGTGGACCGATATATCTCATTTTCAATACCAACCATCCTTGACACAATACAAATTGCTTTGCTAAAATTTTAGCGCTCTACGTCAAATAATGTGGGTCGTATCGTAACTTCAACATACAGACGGACAGACAGACAGACGGACATCGCTAAATCGACTTAGAATTTTATGCTGATTATGAATATATATATATATACTTTATTTCGTATTTTATGATACACAAAATTATTCAAAAATGCTACCCTATGTGGGGGAGTTACTTGAAGGTGTGGTCCGATATTGCCCATCTCCGAACTCAATCTAAGTTTGATAATAATATTACGATGTATTAAGTTTGGTCCAAATGGGATATTCCCTTCGAGAGTTATCGTGCGCACCAGCCAGCTAGCCAGACGGCCGGACATCCGTAGATCGACTCCAAATGTCCTGAAACGGATTTTGTCTAATGAGACCTGGGTCTAAAACCATTATTTTGATGAGACATGTTTTGGCCGTAACCTCTGTACCCATATGGCTGAGGGTATATCAAATCTCATATTGAGCAATGGAAGAACCGATACAGATTAAACTTGGCGCATCGAAATATTCAGAGAAGTTTTCGGTCTTGTTTGAAAGTGGACAATATTTATTATATTTATATTCTTGTTTGTACTCGGGCCCTTTGGGCCCATTCCAATCGACGAGGCTTGTCCGCAGGCAACATTCTTTGCGTCAATTGAATTTCGTACGGGAACAAATGCAAATCAATGTGAATAATCCGTTGTATAGTGGACCCAGCCATGCCCAACTGCTGAGAACGGCGTTTTTGGGATGTTCTTGGGGACCTCTCAACACTGGCTCGTACGGCAGCGATATTCTCGGCCTATCGCCTTGGTCGACTTTTATATGGCCTCTTCGAATTAGAAAGAGCCTTACCAGTCGAATATTTTTCGTATAAACGCTTAATGGTGTTCTTAGAAGGCGCACTTCTCACATTTTTTAATTTTTTAAAAGCACGTTGAGTTTTCACAATTGACTTCTTCTGTTGAATGTAAATTTCAACTATTTCAGAGCGCTCGCGTGGCGTGTATTGGTTCATGGTAAAAATCTGCTTGGACTGACGCTTCAAATGCGGTATGTCACTAAGCTATGTGACATCTCTGTCAAAAGTTATGGCGTTGCCAGATGGGTCCGTCGAATATGGACAACCCTGTACCTCCCACATAATAGGTCAACATTTTAAATAATAACGATCTCGATAAAATTTAGCAAGGGTATTTCCGAGTTATATTTCATATATTTCCCCAAATATCGTTGTTACAGAGTGCTGCGGCTGCGGAGGACAAAAATTGCAAACCGGATAAACAATATATACGGGAGCTATATTTATATCTGAACCAATTTCGATCAAATTTGGTATACTTATTTTCAGGTCCAATCTGGTCGTACGTACAAAATTCCATACTATTTGGGCTGATATTAACGAAAATTTATATGGGAACTATACCTAAATTTTGACCGATTATCTCCAATTTCAATACGGTTGGTCCTTGGGTCAAACAAATTATTAAATTATGTGCAAAATTTAATCTGAATCGGGCAAATAAATGCGACCTGTACTTTGTTTACAAAAATAAAAAGACAGACGGACGAACATGCATATATCGACTCAGAATATGATTCTATGCAGATCATCAAAAGGAACTATGGCTCTATCTCGTTTCCTTTTGCCTGTTACAAACAAATGCACAAAGACATAATACCCTGACCACCTTGTGGTGTAGGGTATAAGTAATGATAATATAAATACAAAAATCTCATATTTAATATAAAATGAAAGGTTCTCACCCTATATAGGGCCAAACTAGGCCCCGTTACAATATTTATATAACACATAGGTCAGCAGTGAACATAGAAAAAAATTGACCCACTACTTCTGGTATCTCCTACAAAAGGGTCATATATCTGACAATCATTCACTCTCATAAAACCTAACATCAGTGTCCCCAGCACCATTTTCCAAAAAAAAAAAAAAAAAAACAAGTAAGCAAAGGCTACAGTCGAGCGGAGCCGACCGTTGAATACCCTACAACACTATAATAAATGATACAGTTCATATAGGCGAGATACTCGAAAGAATTCCACAAGATATTGTGACAAATAATAAAAGGAAACCATCAGGTTTCGTTCTCTTATTTTCGAATAATAGCAACTTAAACTAATTTCCTCATTTCCAATTTATTGGTAGATGTAGCACGTAAATGGTCTTCCTAGATCTGGAACCAATATTTCCCAAAGACTTATAATCTCTCAGAAGTGGCAAAAGATTAACATTTATTATTGGTTTTTGACTAAAACGCATCTATATGAGATATAGACATTTGACTATATTCTTCAACGAAATCAGCCTTAACGAAATAGTCAGAAGTGCGTCTTTCCTGCATTTGTGAATTCTCCAAAAAGTCACTGGAATAGATATTTGCGTATTTTGTCTACAAAAGTTGACAAACTATTTCACACATTGAATATTTTTGGATGGCCATCCAAAACAATTTGGCTTTTGCAATGCCCGTAACCCCCATTCAAATGTGCGTGAGGATCGGGCAATAATTACGACTTGCTGACAATTTTGCAGTTTTTTTGGTCCACTTCAACCCCTAAATATATGGCGATTATCTCCAAAAAGAGTAGGCTTCTATTTTGACCCTCATCTTATCCCCATGCTAAATTTCATAAGGACCGGGTCATAAATGCGATCTGTAGGTGATATCCTGATATTCTAACAACTTAGTTTTGTTAGCTGTAGAAATATTACCAAATGTTTAATTCAAAATGAAAATATGCCAAAAATATGACAAAATTGAAAAAAATATGAGAAAATATTACAAAATCTTTAGAGATATATTTTTATGCAATTTTTTAGACGTTTTTTCTTTCCTGCCAAGAGGCCATTCTGAACTAATGAGAACTGTCGAAATCATTTCAGCCGTTCTCGACATATAAGAGATCTTTCAGGCATATCATCATTGATAGACATATATATTGCACATATTTTGCTATATATCCGATTTGATGGATGGATGTTAACATCAATGTAAAGATCAGAAGTAACCTTGTCATGGCTTTGCGATTTCGCCGGGATTTAAAATATTCGCGGTTTAATGAACAATTTTGAATTTTTTTCAACACAAAAGATATGGTCTATTTTACCCGCTAAATATTATCCGATGACCACCCAAATTGGTAGGCTTCTTTCCCGTCCTAAACTCTAGCTACATGCGAAATTCCGCGTCTATAATTGCGACATGTATAGCTACTGCAAAATCCGACATTTTTTCAGTATTTGGTCCATTTCAACCCCTAAACATTTGACGATCATCTCCAAAAGAAATAGGCTTCTATTCTGACCCTAACCCCACCTTCGTGCAAAATTTCGTAAGGATCGGGCCATAATTGCGACCTGTAGCGTGATTACAAATTAACATGGACAGACGGACGGACGGACGGACGGACGGACATACATAGCTAGATCGACTCAGCTCGGCGAGCTAGGAAGATCCATATATACTTTCCTATATGGGAAACCAATATTTCGCGGTGTTACATAAATTCTGGCCCAATCAAACTTATAATACCCCCAACGCATAGTGTTGTAGGGTATAAAAATCAATATTCAATATTTTCAACTTTCTTCGAAGTGGAGGGTTTAAAAATTGCCGTTTTTATTTGTTTTGCAAACAATTATTTGCCCATTCTATTTGCATTCAACATAAAGGTTAACATTTAAAATCTGCAGTTCAAAAAAAAAAAAATAATAAAAAATAAATAAATAATAATAATAAAAAATAAAAAAATAAATAAAATTCAAGTATCTTAGATTCGGTTTTTCGTTTGTAAACATTGTTTGTTTGTTGAAATAGAAGGTTTTGGAACAAATTTTTCCAGGAATATAAAAATTACTTTTCCACAGATCAAATAATCTGCATTGTCTTCGATGCCAATATGCCGTGCAGAGGATTTAAATAGTTCCTCCTACCTTTTTGCCACCATCAATTGCGCCCGAAAATTCCAACAATTGTATGCTTCATTGAAAAATGCCCCTGTCCACTTTTTCCACACCCCATCTCGTTTTGTGTGATAGTCATAGGTTTGGAGTTATTTTGTCATTGGAATTTTCCGCTGAACTCAAAGTGCAATTAATTTGCAATAAATTTTCTCTCAAAAGAGGGGACAGTTTTTTTCTTTGAATTTCTGTGTTTTTTTTTTTTTTTTTTTCATTTCGAGTAATTCTTTGTAATTTTTGCTTGTCACTATCATTATGGCAGAAAAACTCACCAGTTGACCATGATGCATGACATGACTGCAACGACACCTTCAACATCGGCAGAAGCAGCTGCCGCAGCAGCAACCCCAACAACAATGTCTTGCCGTGCAGTTACTGTCAATACAACAGCAACCGGTGTAGGGACAGCATCATCAACATCAACAACAGCAACTACAACCAATACCAATACAACTACAATTACATCAGGATTGGAAACATCTGTATCAACAACAATAACAGCAGCAGCAACAACAACAACACCCAATACAACAGTAACAACTTATCGCCCAACAAATGCTAGAAGCTCCTTGAAACGACAGACAAAAAATTCTTGTGCTGCCAACAGTGCACACGTAAATGGATCCGATGAACATAATCATGCTTCGCATACAGGCCACCAAGGTGTGCAACCACATCGCAGTATTATGATCAAGAGCCAACAACATCCTCATCATCAGCATCAAAATGCCAGCCACCATCACCACCAGCTTCCGCATTATTCCCATCTGCAAACATCGAAAAGTATTTCAAGTGGCAGCATTCACCAGGGCAATGGAATTTATTCCTTTACTTCGAAAAAATCAGGTGAGTCAAAGGCATACGCTGTGTAGCTGTGTCTATTTATTCAGGGCAATCGCAAGACCTTGCCATAACCTCGGTAGAATCGTTTCCATTTTGCATATGAATGTGATTCGCATGATGGCAAACATTTTTGTATTGAAAATAACCTCGACTCTACCCACGCCAAAAAGAAAATATACAAAAGAAATGTTTATTTTACCATAAAATGGCTTTTACATCGTTAGTGTTTTCGTTACAAACAAATGGCATCATTTGGGATTGCCTCAGTCAGAGTATTTTATAATTTCAACCTCAGTTGTAGTGAATAAAACAGTTCGATCAAAGTGTCCATACCATCCAAAAGGTTACATCATAATATTCTAATGACACGTTGGTCTGATCAAGACGTCAAAGGTTAGGAAGAAATACGAATGAAGCATATAAGTTCAGTCGGTTTTGCCGACAGAGGTATACCGTCAGCCTATATTCGTTTATTAAAATAAATGTTTACTGCGTAATGATCATTTAAACTGTTGAACCTATATGGACTTGATTCCGAAGCAGTAGGCCAATACTGTTAATTTTGTAACTGACCCATGTCTGGTAGAAATAAATATACCAACGTGCCACATTTGAATTACAGGGTTGCCCATATTCGACGGACCCATCTGACAACGTCATAACTTTTGACAGAGATGTCACATCGCTCAATGACATACCGCGTTTGAAGCGTCAGTCCAAGCAGATTTTTACCATGAACCAATACACGCCACGCGAGCGCTCTGAAATAGTTGAAATTTACATTCAAGTCAATTGTGAAAACTCAACGTGCTTTGAAAACATTAAAAAATGTGAGAAGTGCGCCTTCTAAGAACACCATTAAGCGTTTATACGAAAAAATTTCGACTGGTAAGGCTCTTTCTAATCCGAAGAGGCCATATAAAAGTCGACCAAGGCGATCGGCCGAGAATATCGCTGCCGTACGAGCCAGTGTTGAGAGGTCCCCAAGAACATCCCAAAAACGCCGTTCTCAGCAGTTGGGCATGGCTCGGCCCACTTTGCAACGGATTATTCGCATTGATTTGCATTTTTTACCGTACAAAATTCAATTGACGCAAAGAATGTTGCCTGCGGACAAGCCTCGTCGATTGGAATGGGTCATGGGTTCGTCGAATATGGGCAACCCTATATATCGACTACTTTATCAAATACTTATAAAAATATCGAAAATAAATTTTCAATTTAATTGAAATAATTTTATTTTTTGTGGGGGAAATACGAGTGGGTCGAGGAGTGGGTCGCATCGCCACAAAACACGAAATCTTTAAAATCTTGGGTTGTTTGAAATTTGAAGAGAATCGGATGACTTATTTGTCATTTTAAGAGCACCTTGGTACTCAAAATGTTAACCCTTTTGTGGGAAAGGTACCAGAAGAAGTGGACCAATACATTCCATTTTCACACCAGATCTTGTATTGGTAGGAATATTTTGACGAGCCGTGCTTGAAAGGTGTCGAATATAGGGTGAGATAAAGAGAAAAACTGCAACTAACTTCAGACTGATGTCATTTCTAAGCCACTCGTCCAAAAGCTGTTAAATTTATTCCACTGACAGCACATTATATTGTTTACAAGCGAACAAAAGCATTCTGCTGAGAATTTTCCAGAAAAAAGTTTTTCGTGATGGAATTCAAGCGTGATAGTGTGATTTCTTTATATTTGTCTGGAAAACCACAAGTGGCTATCGTTAGAGCACTCCAGCATTTAAAGGTGAATAAATCCTTTGTATATCGTACCGTGATACTGGTAGCATAGCCCGACGTCAAGGAAGTGGACGGAAGAAAACAGCAACATCAGCAGAAATGTTTCGAAAAGTAAAGAAGCGACTTGATCGAAACCCGCGTCGCAGTGACCGAAAAATGGCTCTTGAGCTGAACATATTGTATGTATTCGGCAAATATTGAAAAACGAGCTCGGGTTAAGCCATTGAAATTCAAAAAAGTGCAAGAACTTAGCCCACAGTAGAAAGAAAATAGACTTTAAAGAGCTAAATAGTTGCTTCGTTTGGCAACAAATAAAATGATCGTGTTTACTTGCCAAAGAAATAAGCTGGGCCGCCATAACAGCCAATGGTTACTCTCCGCTCGTATTAATCGACCGTGACATCAAAATAAATGCTGAATATTATCGCGAAAATATTCTGGAGGGTGTATTAAAGCCTTGGGAACGCAAACATTTTGCGGCGGACCTTGGACATTCCAACAGGACTCAGCACCATCGCAATCAGCACGCGCCACCCAAGAATGGTTACAAAATTAGGTTCAATGCCTTCATTTGCAGCACACAATGGTCATCTCCGGATCCAAATCCATTAGACTATTGTGTTTGAAGTATTCGGAAAAGCAAGGTTGGCACTAAAAAATACCAAAGTGTCGATCGCCCCAAGCAAGCGCTTCGTCGAGTTTAATCGGACAATACTAAGCTTGTGACGGAAAAGTTTTATTTTCAAAGAATCTTTCTGAAAGAGCAGTAAGTTCGCTAGGCTGAACTATGAATACCATCCATCATTTGGAACGAATTAAAACACTTTCAAAATAATAAAATCCTTTAAAAATTCTGTTGAAATCTTAAAAATATTGGAAGGTGTCGATATATGGGGGAATAGACGATATTGTCGACCTATAGAAACAAATCTATATCTGGGGGTAAAGTACTCACAATGAACTTCTTGTGTGGAATTTCAGACAATTCCGTTGAAAATTGTGGCTAAAATCATCAAAATACCGAATATCGGGGAGTACCTTTATATGGGGGCTATACGATATCAGGGACATATATAGATAATTCTCCTCCAACGGATAAAGTGCTCTCAATAAACTTCTTTTGCGGAATTTCAGACAATTTCATTGAAAAATGTGGCTAAAATCATCAAAATACCGAATATCGGGGGGTACCTTTATATGGGGGCTATACAATATCGTAGACCTATATAGACAATTATCTTGCTGGGGGTAAAATAACCACAAGGAACTCCTTGTGAGGAATTTTAGACAATTTCGTTGAAAAATGTGGCTAAAATCATCAAAATACCGAATATCGGGGGGTACCTTATATATGGGGGCTATACGATATGGGGGACCTCTATAGATAATTCTCTTCCAGGGGATAAAGTACTCACAAGGAACTCCTTGTGTGGAATTTCGGATAATTCCATTCAAAACTGTGACTTAAATCACCAAAATACCGAATATCGGGGGGTATCGTTATATGGGAACTAGACGATATCGTGGACCGTTATAGCCCATCTTCGAACTTGACCTGCCTACAAAAAAAAGCCAGATCTGTGCAAGATTTTAGCTTCCTATATTTATTCGTTTTGACTGTAGCGGGATTACAACAGACGGACAGGGCCAAATCGTCTTAGAATTGTACGCTGATCAATAATATATATACCTTTTTATACCCTCAGTCATATGGCTACAGAGGGTATATATCATTTGATACGGTCAAAATGTGCCTAGTCGAAATAACGGTTTTAGACACTAGGTCTTTTTGGACCAAATCCGTTTCAGAAAATTTGAAGTCGATCTAGCGATGTCCATCCGTCCGTCCGTCTGTCTGTCTGGCTGGCTGGTGCGCACGATAACTATCGAAGGGAGCATCCGAATTATCCGAATAGATCGAGTTCGGAGATGGACAATATCGGTCCACTCCTTTTGGTACCTCCCCCACAAAAGGTCAAGACTTTAAATAGTTACAACTCTCATAAAATGTGATGTTAGAGCCCGATTGTCTTGAAATCTCACACATCACAATATTTATACTAACCCAAGGTCTGGTGTTATGATGGAATATGTGGATCCACTCCTTCTGGTACCTCCCTACAAATGTTCGAAATGTTCAAAAAATATATATTTTTTGCACAGAAAGAGAAACGATAATTCGATTTTGCTCCACCTTTGCCAATCCTAATATTTGCGTCAGTGCTAGGTGAGGTGTGAATATGGAAAATATAGGTCCACTCCATCAAGTACCTCCCCCACAAATGGTCAAAATGTTGAATAATTACAACTCTCATAAAATATAATGTAAGAGTCCAATTGCCTTCAAAACTTCACACATCTCTACATTTATATTAACCCAAGGTCTGGTGTAAAGAATATATAGGTCTACTCCTTCTGGTACCTCCCCCACAAAAGGTAGAAATTTTGAATATCCATTAAGCTCATAAAACGCGAAATTAACATCGGATTCCATTTAGAGTTGGCACATCTGAATATTTCTATTAACACAGGATCTGTTAAAAAACGGTAGAGATCGGATCATTCCTCCTGCTACCTCCCCCACAAAGAGTCAAAGTTTGGAATAACTAAAACGTTTATAAAATCCGAAATAGGCATCAGGTTATCTTTATATTTCACACGCCCCATTATTTCCACTAACAAAAGATCCGTTGTGAAGATGGGATATATCGGTCCACCCCTTCTGGTAGTCCGCCACAAAGACTTAAAATTTTGAATATCCATGAAGCTCATAAAAAGCGAAATTGACATCCGATTCTATTCAAGACATGGTGCACCGCAAAATTTCCATTAACACAACACAGTCCAAATGTAGCACGTCGCAATATTTATATCATATTTATTTAGATCCGATACGAAATGACCAATATTGACCCATTTCTTCGGAACCAACTGAACGAGGGGTTAAACATTTAAATAATCATAACAGAAGTCAAAATATTTTTAAATAATCAAACATTGGCTGAGGATATTCATCTGTCGGCAAAACCGACCGATACTTGTTTACTTGTTAAGTTTAAAATTATTATTTCGATGAGTTACAAACGGAATGACGAACTTAATATACCCTCCATACTACATAAAAAAACAATCTGAGTACCGTTACTGATGAGGAAAATACATCATTTCAAAATTATTCTGTTTTAAACATTTTCAACGGGCCAGAAATTTCCATTAGTCGCATATTTTTCTGAAATTCCCTCGCAGCCCACCATAGTCGTA